GGAAAGATCGTCGTGGGGAACGCGTAAAAGTATACAACAGTCCACCAACTATTTATTACAAATAAATGGCGCGATTCGTGGAATTAGACTCGCACGAAAAGTAATTAAGAGACGAACATTATAGAGCAATTACATTCTTTGTCAATTCAGTTGAATATTAGATTTTAGAATAGTGTTGTATATTTTGAACATCTATCCTTTATAATTAAGCGGTGAAAGGTCACATTGAAAAATTATACGAAGCCAGAAGAGACGCCCGTAATGTGGTAGTTTGGTACAACGCTCCAATAAGAATTGAGTAGAAAGCTCGGCGACAAAGTGGGTCTTCATTAATCGTTTCCGCCTTCGCACCCTGTCATGACCCTTTTATATAATCCTAAAAATTCACATTTTTATTGTCTCCTGTACTAATGGAACTCTCTTCCTTCGTCAAAATTTTCTCGACGCGACACCGGCCGCCTTTCTCGGAGCCACTAATCACCCTTTGCGTCACTTGGCTGGCACAAAAGGCACGGTCGCCTCCAGGGCGTACTTAGGCGTCCGAAGACTTGGCAGCTGTACGAGCTCGAGCATCTGACATTCCAACTTTAAGCTTTGAGTATTCGGTTCACGTCGATGTCGTGTCCTTTCGTCAACGTTTCGAGATCAGAGGCGTCTTCTTCCCTTTCCTGGCAATACATTTATTGAAAATCTTATATACCTTTGTTTTTAAAATTTCAAGTTCAAGAAGTTACTTCAAGTTCGAAAAAAAATAATTATAACTTCTTTAAATTCACATGTATTGCTAGTATACTTCCTTTCTAACAATATATTTTCTACTTAAAAACATCACAAGATGAAAAGCAAATTTCTGCCAGAAACGTAGAATATAGACGATTACGTGTCTGCCACTGAGCATTGTGGGTAATATATGTCAAATTAAACTTATAATAACAGTACTTCTACTTCGGGCAAACAAGTGACAAGCCACAACAAAAAGTGAAGTAGCGTAGACTTTCAATACTGACAATTAGTATAACAATCATTATAAGACAACATTCTAGAATTTCCGAGAATAAAAATACCGCAAAGCCAAATGCAGTATCCTTTTTGCCGTACACAGAGTCCTTTTAAATATTTGTCGTAATGTTACATTGCCGGCATTTCTATTCTAATAACAATGTACATTCTTATTAAGTCTGCGACAACTTGTACTTAGAAAGTTAATATGCAACACCTGTTTACAAATATATATATATATATATATATATATATATATATATATATATATACACATATATGTGAGTGTATGCGTGTGTGTGTGTGAGGGTGTGGGTGTGTGCGTTTCTTAGAGCAAACATAGGTTAAACGAATCAATATGGAAATAAAAAGACATGATAACAAAAGGTATAATGTTGAAAATGCTCAACTGCCACGAGTGTCCAGCGGCTTTGAAAGCAAAAATAAATTGAAAATAATAACAAAGGAAGAAAGGACAACGAAAAAAGTAAGAAATAACATAGGTAGGTAGAAAGAACAAGAAAGAATGTGAAATATTGTGCTGGAGCAGAACAATATATAATAGAATAGAACTTCTGCGTCGATTGATTTTTTGCAGCATTATTGAACTTTCAATATACAACATATACTTGTCTCTTATGAACCAGATACACAAAGCTACCAAATACATCCGAGGCAGATCGTGTCTTTGAACAGCAAAAATTGCCTCGACCTTCTCTTCCTCCTCCTGAACCCTTTGTCCACAACATGCATTTTCTGCCTCTCATCATGACTGAGAAGAAATTACGATCTCGGTAGACCATTCATTCATGTGTTCCGTGCGTTTCCAGAGTATAGAATTTGATTCTTGCACGCAACTAGCTAAGATTTCGACGAAGTATTTATTGACAGAACCAAAGTACAGGAAACAACAGTATTGGTATCGGTACATATTGGGTGGGTCATTATTTTGGCGTAGTAGGAATTTGTTGACAACCCTCTCATTTTTTACATACCCTAAACATTTTTAGATTATGTATTTTCAATATTTGGCATTATGGGGTCGGATTTATTCGACTTTTGTCAGCTAGCAGTGTTGCTAAGCCTGGACTCTCTTTTTACTTATTATCTACCTCTGGAGTAAGGGAGATATGTAGCGAGCATGAGGTATTTCAATCAAAATATCAATAATACTTGGTCACCCTGGACCTTCCTTTCGTCATACAGCTTTGGAAACCGAGACGATTTTATTAGAAAACAGTTCTATTTTTGCCTCGAATCGAACTGGGAAACGAAAACCAGCTAGAGCAATTAAACAATTAACTCGTGTACCTAGTATTAGACGTTTTCACTTAGTTGAGAACTTTCTTCTTGTACATGAAGATAACGACTGTATAGGATGTTTCGAAAAAAATGCACAAACACGAGAACAAGAAGAAGAAATCAAGGGAAGCATCGTCGTCAACTAACCTACGCGGTAAGAGATCAGAGCTCGATTTTAAGATGTGTCAAAATTCACTTTCTGTTGTAAAATTTATTGCGCCTTGCAACACGTTTCTAATGGGAAACAATGAGTGCATGAACTAATGCAGTAATTCTCTATTAATCTAGTCATCATCGCCGGTTGCAGTCGGTCATTGCCTTTTATCCCTTTGGACAGGGATCCAGCGCCGTTAGCTCCGGGTGTTCCCTGGCAGTCACCCGACCAGGATCCGGGAAGTCCCGAATTGCTGAACTTTCATGACTTCACGGAGCGCAGTTAAAGAATTCGGGTAGCGACGTCGACTTCTGGCCCCCTACGAAATTGGCATACCATTTCGCACTCGAGTCGCACGAGTGACCTCCGTTCCAGACTTCGAGGGTTTCTTAAGGCGCCAAATATTGCAGTAGGAGTCAGCAAATGGCGTTACATTGTTTGGAGGAGGAGAAAGGGGTGCTGTAAAAGAATCATAATTTCACAGTTACGCTTTATTATTATAAGAACAATTAGGTATTGAATTACATTGAATAATAAAGTGTAACGGTGCAATCATTATTCATTTTGCAGTCTTCTAAAATGTGACTCTCTTTGGTAAATATTACTGAAATCATTACGGCCTTAAAGTATGTCTTAACCATATCCCCAGGAACAGTTGCCATACGTCAAAGTGCGCGTTGATACGTCGACTTCATAGCAGCACAGATGAATTTTGGACACAGCCGAGCGCCAAGTCTCGGCCTTAGACCCAAGGTTCATTGACGAACCACGTCCACTAGATTCAGCTTCCTTCGACCCATTTATCCAACCTCTGTGTGTGGGCACTTCTTTCTGAGTCAGTCTGAATATGTTTTCGTTTATCGTGTGCATGTGTATGAAAAGAAATGAGCTACAATCATTGAAATTTTCTCACCTAATTAATAACTTATTAATAAAAATGCCGCGACTTTGGGGTTGTTTGGCGTTGGTACTTGACGTAAGGCTAAAAGGGGTTAAACATTGTTGAGACCTAATTGCGATTGCACATTTTATTAAAAATATTATTTATGTGACAAACATTCTCAGCTGTAGTTCAAACAAATGATTTTAATGTTCCAATGTCAAGATTGCCCTCGTAGCAATACCTCAATTTTAGAAACAAGGGAATAGGGAGGTTTTGCGTCACAAGAAAGGTAGAGACGTTATGCGCCAACAGTCAAGTGGAGTATCTTGGAGTCATAACGTCTTAGTATCTTAGGGTTCAGGCACGACCTTATATCTTCATATTGTATGCCTGTAGCAGTTTCTATGAACACCTTATCAATGGCGAAATGACCGATTATAAACAGGAAAGGTAATACCTTTTCAACTGTGATAAGCTGACTCGTGTGTGAAGAAGTTACAATGAATCCTTACCAATATCCACAACCCTGGCAAAAATTAACGTAAATGTTGGAAAGGTGATAGGTTAGAACGTCGCAAAAATGAAGTTGAAATCATTTCTTCATGTTAGATAACTTCTGATGCTCATAAGGAACGCAATAAATAGATATTCCCTTCATTCTTAAGAAAAGCCGATTCAAAATCACAGACTGCATACTAATCGCCCAGGGCCAGAAAATGCAAAACTCCGTGTATAATAGAGATTTTTTTTACTCTTGACATCTACCATGTTTCTAATGTCTCACCAATTACCTACACTCTTTGATACATTATGCACCTTCTCTGTGCAACGCCTGCAATGCTTCTTTTGTTATAATGCATAAAGAAATGTCGCAAATGCTGAAGCTCAACTGAACTTTGTTGTACGGCTGTCCTTCTACCGCATCACATCATTAGTTACGTGACCAATATATATTATTTTTAGCTTTAGTAAATAATTACACATGCGTGTATTATGTATTGTGTCAGTGTTCCAGTAACTAGTAATTATATGAATTCGTGCATCGTCGTCAGTGTAAGCTACATCTTTCGTTATTATTTCATATCTAATTGTGGTTTGTTAATTATGATTTGATCTATTTCTTTTTTATTTAAATTTGTTCAGTGTAGGTACATTCAGCGATATCTCAATTAAAAGAATGAAGTAAATTGAGTTGACGGATGGCGCTGAAACTCGCTGACGCTGCGCGTGCGTGCGTGCGTGGGCGGGTGCGGGACGCCCCCGCGCTGCGCTGTGCGACGCTGAGTCCTCGCGCCTCGCCTTTGTCCCTCTGTTGCAGAAAGCGGAATGGATGTGCAACATGTGCATGAAGCGCACCAAGATGGGGCCCATGGGCTGGCGCCCCGGCCAGCAGCCCCCGACGCAGGGGCAGGTCCCCGGCCAGCCCTCGCAGCAGTCCGCCCCTGGGAGTCCACAGCAGGTGAGCAGCTGGCCGCCCCAACCCCGTAGCCCCCAGCCGACGTCCCCCTCTCCACGCCACACACACACCACCCTACCACCAAAGCACACTTATTCGAACCTAACCAAACCTAACTATGGTGGGAATCCTGATGAGGTGTTGTAGACGTATTTATTTCATCAAAATTTAGCTACATTTAACCTCACCTAATCACTCCTAAAGACACACATACCCCGATTTAAACAGAGAGGCACTTCAAGGTCACGAGCTAGACGGAGAGAGGGACACTGTCATCGAATCGTTACGACTTAAATGTCCAACGTTTTACGTACTTTGTTACGAATTAATTTTTTGTATTAAAGCTCCCCAGTGGGTGACAATGTCCTCCTCTCCTTGCAGCTTCTAAACTTGAAGCGCCCCTCTGTTTAAATCGCAGCTACGTCTAACTTCACCTGACCACTCCTAACAATACTGCATCACACATAACCCCACTAATCAAGACTAACCACACCTAAACTCAACTTACCACACCACACCCAGCGCACGACTGGGGTTTATATCGCATCGTCACAGAAATTTAGCAAAATTATCTACCTCATGAAATATAACTGTTAGGCATATTGTGTGCACATTTTATTCCACATTTTTCTCTATAAATGATTGTCTAAGTATGCTTCAGTATTATGAACATTGATGTCATTGTTTATGATATGCGTTGCAATCTTAAGATAAAACTATTCTTGGTTAAGTAGGTACTGATTAGTTGTAGAGTACCGCACTCTTACAATAATATTTTATTCTTGATTTACGCTCAAAGACGTTCATTGTTTAGTGAGAATTTCCACACAAATGTAAAGAACTTACCTCGATAGACCGGAAAAAATTAATTAGGTTCAATTTTTTACTAACCCAGTTCTTATTTCTTGAATAATAGAAAAATGACAAATTGTTTTCTTTTCAAGTGAAATATCTCTTTCAAACCCAAAGAATATTTATTTTCCGTTGTTAGTTCATGAATAAATTATCATGGTTAGTTGTTTCATTGAAATTCAATTAAAAAATAATGTAATTAGAGTTCCTTAATTTTCAAAGACAATTATTGATCTTATGTAAAAATGACCAGGTTAAATACAAACAATTTAAATAAACTTCAATAAAAGCTGATGATCGTTATGGGTCTTAAGAGATGAGAGATACCTGACCCAGCAAAGTGGAGAAAGGTGTTTTATAAAATACTTTACATAATTATACGTTGTAGTTTGATGTTCTTATTCATGCATCTTTCAGAAAATATTCTTTCTGTAAATTCTAAAAATACAACTGGCACTTATTCTATACTTCATACAGGCAACTAGATGCTGCGGACAAGGCCATCTTTTGAATCTGAAAATACCTCATCTAACACCCTTTTCTGTGAACACCAGTACAAATAGAAAAGCGTAGAACCTGAGGAGCTAACCCGTTTCGCCGTTTCCCACGCCACAGCCCAGGCGCCTGCAAGGCAGCAACAGCGGCGTCGCGGCGCGCCCCGTCGCCCACGGCCGCCTCCGCCTCCGCCCCCGCCGCCGTCCCCACCGCCGCCGCCGCCGCCCCCTCCACCGCCGCTTCCAGATTCCGGAGCAGGAAACAAGACGGAAGTTTCGCGGACGTTAAAAGGAACGAGAACCCTCCGTCTTGGAGCGGCTTCCTCGCGGGGAAACGTTGCTGTCGCCTTTAGAAAAGAGGAAACTTTATTTCGTTGTGAAAAGACTTCCCCATTTGAGTGACGGCTAACTATTCGAGGAACGTGTAAGCAGCGATTGCATGGCCAGCGTCTGAGGAACGTCGCGAGTATTCGGGAGTCCTTCACGGGAAGCTGTTTTGTTTCGCGCACGTCGTAGTCCATGACAAGGAGCTTCCACCGAGTGAACAGTGTTGAAGCTCATGTTTAGAAAACACCGACCGTTATGTTCCGTTTCGTCATCTGCACAGTCCGAACAATAGCGCATTCGGAATTTCGAAATCAAAAGTGTTTATAAACAGTTGCCCCGACGCAATATATAAACTGAAAAGCCACGGCGTACGGTATCATTCTTTCAATGAGCTTTATTGACCATTCTGTGATCATTCAAGGAACTTTCAACCGAATTTGTAATACGTTAAAGAAGAGGCGAAAACAAATCAGGAATCACTATTCTCGGAGAGAAAATGAAATGGGCTTGTGAATTAATTACCCATGAGTCAAACGCGTTCACTGTACTTTATTCGTAAGTTATGCACGAGAAACTTTTTTCCGCACGCAAGGTACTTCAAAGGCCGAGAATAAGAATCAGAGAACGAATTGCGTCAAGGAGGACGAATTGTGTCTTGTTTTGGGAATAGAGTCGACCATCAATTTTTTTCAATATTTTACGCCTCTCTTGCGTATATTTTCGGCCATATGATACCTTAATAAAATTAACATATTTTTCGGATTTTAGCATTCATCTGTCCCTACGCGCTGGTACTAATATTACGATAGTAACTACGACCTTCGTAGCGAATCATCAATTCTCACTCTCAGCGGGCGTTTTAAATAAGCAATATCGCATCTTGCCCTTGCAATCTCCCGTAAATGCCAATGTCTGGGTGCTTCGTCAGCAATTGGTGGCGCCCGAAGCGCTGCGAGTGGAAGGCGGCGGCGACGACGCCGAAGGCACCGGCGGCGGCGGCGGCGGCGGCAAAGCAGAGACGAGAAGAGGGACAGGGACAGGGACGAGGACGGGGACGGCGGCGAAGACGCGACATTTCCGATCCTTGATTCGCTTGCCGGCGCCGTAACTTCGTCGTCGCTGATATCCTGCCTCAGAGCGGCTAATAGCACCCTCCGCCGCCAGCATCGGCGCCGGATTGCGCTCGATTGGCTGGTTAGGACGGCGCCCTCGCGCTCCGTCCTCCGTGACCCCGCCCACCTTCGCGCCGCCTGCTCCCCTCCACGGCGACCCAGCCGCGTTTCGGCCTGCGCTGCTTTCCTTCCCTTCTTTGCACCTTCTGCTTGGAGAATTTTCCCTCCTCCCTCCACTCGCTGCTTTTTCAAGTCTTATCTCACCATGCGTACTCTGTGTTTCTCCCGCCTCGTTCATCAGGGCATTTTCGCAAATCATTGTTGGGCTCATCGAATTCAATTTCGTTCTCGAGACTACCTCCACGTGATTCCCTTGCAATTTAGAAATTGCGTCTTCCTTCCCCTTTCTCGACTTTCCTGAGATAATCCCCACGTCTTCTTCCTCTCTTCGCTTACCTCAATCCACTCCGTCTCGCTTACTTCTTTCTGTTAAACATTCATTTTGCCGAAACTCCCACGTCCCCGTTATCGTCTTCCCCCACCGCCCTCCTAAATTCTACCCAGTATATATATTGGTCTCGCCTCGATCCCTTGCCTACGGATCCTCTTCGGCTTCCTGCAGCCCATTTCCTTAGCTCATTTCGCCCGTGGAGGAGCCCACGCGCCTCAGGGAGCAGCCACGGAAAATATTTGCAGGCGAGGCAGAGCCTTTCCTCAATTTCAAAACTTTCTCTTCACAGTTTGCCACCTTGTTAACGCATGTATTATCAATCCCAGAGATCCAGAAAACTCATTTAATACAGCATTTTTCAAATACCTTAAGAAGATTGTAAAGAAAAGTTATTTTCATTTCGCGTGTTGGATATAACAAACTTATCAGCATCTAACTTAATTCACCTTCATTTCCTTTAGCACATCAAGTGTGAAATACAATAACTCGCAAGACGTTGAATATTGAAATGGCAATACCATAGAATTTTTGGGCTTTGTAATATCTGGGAGAATAACTGGTTTATTTTCCATCGCAACTAAAAATGTGGTTCGCGTGTTGCTAAATATGGATATAATGTCAAAGCAAGACCAAGGTAGAGCCTTTTGGTTTGATTTCGTGTGACTACGGGAGCACGGGTAGTAGCGCCGACACGCACGTAACATCAGGGAGCCCCGCGGGCGCCGCCGATTCAAAGCCATGCGGCGGCGAGCCAGGTGGAGTACTAATTTTTGGATTTATTGCCCTCAAATATTAGTAAAACTGTGTGACGTCGAAGGGAGGAAGCAATCTGCACACCTTTTCATTGAATTTCAGAATTCTTTTTTTTTGCGTCTTCGTCGACGGAGCTCGGCACCTCTTAATTTCCGTGACTTCGTAAAGCGTAGTTAAGCAATTCGGCTAACGACGCCTCATCCCCACCCTTTAACTATAAATATTTGAGTGATGAATAAATATACCAAAAAAGTAAGGTAAGCAGTTTTTAAAATTACACCTTTTTCGCCCCCGAATTATAGAAAATTTATTTGCACCGGTAAGCTAACTACAGATTCGATTTTTTAGTAACAAACACACAATTTTTAGCTAACAAAATAGTAGCCCATAGTCTGGCCTATTCCGATCATTACTAGAAAAAGAAGGGTCCAACAAAGTTTAATATTCTGATTACGTTTTAGTACGTTTACGATTTAGTAAGTTAATACTGCGGTTACAAGTGGCATTTTCACTCGTTTGAGAAGAATAACATAGTACGGGTTCCGAGGTATGATGAAAATGTGTCTTGAATATAGGAGGCGAAAGATAGTTGTAACGATTATTTGGATATATTGTTTCAAAGAATTAAAAAGGTTTTGAATTATGAATTATGATCACATTCTTTGATTTTGAAGAAATATTGTGGCGACACTTAGTGAAAGGAGTCAGATATTGTCACTACATACGTAATATTTTGTTCACAACTGTAGACTGTCAAATGACTGTGATGACACATTATTTATATTTTTCATTCTGCAAGCAGTGAGTGTTCCAGTTTTAAATTCAAATTACAGAAACCGAAGTTTTGATCAATGTTTTCTGAATTTCTGACAATATGAAACTTAAACTGATATAAATATTATATATGCCCTTCCATGTCCTGCTGTTATTCACACCAACCTGCCTTTCATCAGACTGACATTTTTCCCCCTCCATGTCCTTAAGGGTTTCAATGCGACATCCTGGAGAGCTTGCAAACTTGCGGGAATTTTCCTCAAGTACCTCGCACCAGCGGGGCACCGCCCCAACCGGAACAAGGTCTAATCTCCGACTGGTCTCCCAACATATGCAGTTTACCATTTTATTTCTTTCAGAACATTTGTTCCTAATCCCCAAAAGACAAACGGGAATTACATACCATTACAAGATGATACAGATTTTGAAAATTAAAGAAAAACTTTAGGAAAAGTAATACACAAGAATGGAAATTTAAGTTAAATCAGTGAAAAATGCACAAACTTTTAATTTATTATATGTAAATGCATACATGTCTTCCTTTGTGTCAACACACAAAAAATCATACTTTTAAATCAATCTTCATTTCACCATTCTTCACAGATCATCTCACTTCTCTTTTACCTGAAGACCAGGAGGTAAAGACTGTTTCAACTTCTCTGCCTTTTCCTTACCAGTTACCACAAGAGTATACAGAAATCTTGAACAACGGACTTTAAACTTCACATTTTCTGGGTTCTTCTTGATCTTCACAGATTTGGCATCCTTCCTCCGAACAGTCATCAGGAATACTTAATTTCCTTATTTTCACGTGCCATTTTTTAAGCTCTTCCTCGCACGTGCAGAGGTGATTGTTAATAAAGCAACAATAAATGTAACTGCTGTAACTTCAACTAAACATTTAGAAATCAACGTGCACTCACTCACAGCGGAAGTACCATATGTGGTAGTGTAATGCGTGTGTGTGTTAGTAAGGGAAGATGAAAGATTAAGGAAGAGAAAGGAAAGAACGCGCGACGTCCGTGGCCCGTTTGTTAGGATACTGCTCCGGAATTCGCGTGGTGTTGATCGGAGAAACCACAAAAACTACCGATCAGAACAGCCGGCCGCTAGTATTCTCCTCCATCCAGCGCCTGAAATCGACCTGCCAAACTAATGTCGAAAATCTTGCCATTGTCGGGACTCGAATAGTATTGCATGTCATACGTACTGTGATAAATATTGCAGTGACATCAGTTGATGCTCTGAGCCAACGTTGTCGGTTCGAGTCCCGACGGTCGCGCTGGCGTCCTTTCGACACTAGGTCGAATTCAACCACTATAGAATGATTCTAATCGCCAGCTGCTCTGGTCGATAGGTATCAGGCGAATACAGGAGCAGGACCCTCACAAATAGGCCAAGGATGGTCCTTTCCAGTTTTCGTACCCTTCCTCCCATTACACTCACTACGTATACTAAATTCATACAGTTTGTTCCGGCAGAGGCGGTGTCCGTTGAGGGAGATACCTCGAAGCGATAAACTCGCAAGTCTAATTGTAGGACTGCGTGAGAACTCCCGTTTCAGCGGGGCAGTAACACCCCTCCTCCTCCTCCCAGGTTATAACATGCACTGCACTTGCGGGATTAATGACCTCCGTATTTGACGTGCACGGAAACACTCGCCCACTCCATGGGCGCGTCCTCGCGCTGCCCTCAGCGCCGCCTTCTGACGCGGGGGGAGGGGGGCGACGCGTTTCCCTCGTCGCGAACGAGGGCGATTTTTTCGTTTAATGGAATGATGTAGCCATTTCGGGCGCGGCCGTGCCTCGCTTCACCCTCACCCAATCAGCGTCCTAAATCACGGCTAACGGGATGTCGCGATTCGTATTTGATATTTCAGTTCCGTTGATTTCGCTGCGTTTCATCATAGCGCGGACGGACGCGATATCCGTGTTTTTTGCAGGCGATTAGCTTGGGCGCTCTGCGTTGGGCTTCTGCAGCTACTGTAGACGCACAGCTTGTGTTTTTCATATGCTGCTGCACAAATTACCTTCAAAATGAAGTTTCATGACGAGCTACTGATTAAATGATAAATATGAGGTGTTAGAGAGCAATTTACGAAGGTGAAGAAATTCTAAAATGAATCATAAAGAATGATTTTTTTCATTCAAAAAAACTGAGTAAATCAATGAGATAGAAGTGGAAGATATTTGAGCATTTTATTTTTTTTTTATCGTTAAGAAATTGAACAGTTAAATAACAGACTATAAAGAAGGTGAGTATTGAAGAGCAATTTTAATAATTGTAAAGCACAGAATAATGCATTTCTCTACTTTTTATGTGTTAATATACCTTTCATGTCGTTATTTCCTCCTTTTCAATAACTGATACGCAAAATGAATTTGTGTCTATTTATTAATAGCACTGGGGATGCACACAGAGTGCTTGTCAAAAATGTGTATTAATAAAAAAGAATCAAAGTTAATTACCACTCATTTCAACGTATCATTGGGTGTTTCAAAACGATTATTAAAAATAATTCTTAAAATATAATATCTTTGACTTTTGCGTGTCAGATAATAAGAGAATATTTGACAGTGAAAAAGTATTCTCTGCGATCGTCTTATGTTCTTTGTTAACTCACGTTCACCTTGAATGGATCGCACTAGCTTCAATACAATGCATTTTTAAAGGAAAAGCCATTTCATAATGACTTTACGATTACGTGCTACAGTACCCGCCATTTGTAAATCCCTCCATCATGATGCAAATGCAGAACAGCAAAGGAATTTTAAAGACTGAACGATTACACAATACTAAAAATAGAATAAACATAATGTAAATACAGTGCTGTTCAAATGCAATTATTCGGGAGCAGCGCTCGCTAGCCCGGTGCAGTTTGAAATGTGCCATTCACCTTTCACTAGCCTAGGGCCGATTACGTTGAGTGCCACCCCTCTCCTACCTTCCGAAAGGGCTGGCTCATCAAACAGCAGGCGACACCGGTTGCACGCAGAAGGGAGCTGCACCAGGGCACGGCGAGTAGGCTGTCCACTTGAGCACCCTGATGTAAAAGGCAAAAAGAAACAAGCCGACAACTGGAATCGTTGCCCTAATATTTTTCTTCTTGGGGCTTTTTCCCGTTTCAAGAGATGCCGGTTTTGGCTATCCACGACGTGTGAGTCAAGCATTGTTCTCAATTCATTTTATCAAACGAGGGACTCATGTAATTTCACGGCCGAATTGACGAAAGTGCGAGCGAAGCACTCCACGGCCGACGTCATTCTTTGCATGCCCGCGCTGCGTTGCGAGGGAGCGCTGCAGCTCGCTGAGGGAGCGCGCACTGTTGCAGGCGTGGGACGCGCACCTGCGGAAGGACATGCGGCGCGAGAATAAGGCAGCAGGCAGGATATGGAAGTCCAGAGCGTGAAGTAGGGAGCCCAAGCGCCAGTAGTGGCAGGTGAGCAAGTGGCAGCGCGTGGCAACGGCAGCACGCCGCCCCGGCGACCATTTTGCCCCATCCGACAGCCCTCCGAGGCCCACCCACCTCCCCGCCCTTCGACCGGCACCGCGGACTCGGTACGCTGGAGTTATCGACGGGTCCGACGCGGTCGGACGGGTCGGCGGTGCGCCGATTAGCGCATGGATGAGAAAGAGCACCTGGGGCCGGCATGCGCGCGACGAGAGACGGAGGCGGAGGACGGGAGCAGAGCAGAGGAGCGATGAGGAGGGATAGAGAAGGAGTGAAGGTGGCCGGGCCCGGCCGAGGCCGGGCGAAGGGCGCCGCGACCCCCGGGCGAGCCTCGCGGCCCGGGCCACGGCGCCGTGGCGGGTGCCGCGCGTGGGGGCGGCGCGTCCGCTCGCCGCGTCGGCGCGCCCGCCCGCGCGCGGGTGCACGCCGCCTGCCGCTGCCGCCGTGCCGCCGGGCAAGCACGGCACCCGGGCCCCGGGGGCCGGCCGGGCCTTCTGACGACCCCAGTCCCTGGCGAGGTGTAACGTCCCTCCCCGAGGAGGATGGAAGAGAGGCCGGAGCAGACCTAGAATCCTGATGTGGGGACGTGGGGTGACGCCTGCGCACACAGCGTGCCGCCTGGCGAGGGTAGAGTAGAGGGCTTTGATTGTACGTAGACGTGTGCCAGCCAGGGCTTCTCGCGCGGCGGGCACGCGGCTTCTTCTGTAGTTAGCCTCAGGCCACGATCAGCCGGTTTGTACTAGCGAGTACCCGCCCAGTTGCTTTTATGCGCGGACCGGCAACCGGTGCTGCGCCGCCTCAGCTTCTTCGCGCCAGAGTGTTTTATCCACCTTGGCTACTGACATCTCCGTGACTCGGGGCACGGGGCCGTTCTTCTCGGGCGCGGAGCTGCCAACTCGCACCTCGACCGCTACGGCCGACCGGGCCCTCGGCCCGCGCCGCCGCCTCCCACCACCCATTCCGCACTGCCGCAGCCCATCAGCAGAAGACCTCCGCCTGCCGACCGAAGGCATCGCTGATGGCGGCGCCCGTAGCAAGGCAGTGTGGTACCGCTCCTCCACAGCCGTGGGCCAGCGGACCCGCCGCCTACGTGCCGACCTGGCCCGCCCGCGCCGCGCGCGCGCGCTGCCCGTCGCCCCCTGCTTCCTCCTGCTCTGCCAAGACAGCGCCCTCATCAGTGTATGTTGTCAGGCGGCTGCTTGGCCCGATGGAGGCCGCGGGCGCGCCGCTTCCTCCGCCGCGGTGCCCCGCGCGCCGAAACGCGCCTGCCAGATACGTCTTACCTCGCTACTCTACTTCACCCCTTTCTTACCGACATTTGAAGTTTTTTCATTTCCGCGAACTACAAACCTGTTCACTCTTTCTATTCTTCTTTTTCATATCGCTGCAACGCCACCACCACTTTGTTAATGCCTTCACTTCGTGCTTCATGTACATTAAAGACCATATGTGGGTCGCTTGGCTTGTCCTCCACCCGGTATCAGTGTGTGTAAGGCAATGTGCCCATGCATTGAGCACTATCTCTTCAGCACGTGTGCGATTGCCTCCCCCACCGCCCCGTCGGCGCCGTCGCTTGCACTCCCCCGGTCGTCCGCTGCGAGCGCCCCTGCACTGTGCTGGTGCCCTCTTCGGCGTCATCCTCTGCCTATCCTACGATCCGCTTTCCGTGCTTGGGTGTCTGTCTGGCTATTCACAGACGTTAGATTGATCCAGTAACACTCATAACATTAGGGCTTGAATCCTCCGCATGGGCTGCTTTTATACGGTGGAGATAAAACTCTGGTCCTCTGTTTCAGTTCTCTTCTTTCGTAGTGATCTGTATTAATAGCGCTTCGCGAAGTCGGTTTCCTCATTGTTCAATATGTGTACCCTTGTCCGCTTGGTTTTCGAGACAACACGTGTGCTGTCTAAGCCAGGTAGTCCTGGCCCCGGGGCGTCGAGCACCGGCCCTACGCCTTCGGACCGTCGCCTCGCGCGACCTAGGTGCGTTCTGTCAGGCGAGCGGGCTGCCGCGGGCGAGCGGGGGGGCGCGTGGGGAGCTGGGCTGGGGTACCGCGAAACGGGCGCCGCGCCTCTCGCATACAACCCGTCACGCTCCTCGGCCCACCCGCGCAGCCCAAGCGCTCAGGCTCCGCGCTACCTGTGGGAAGCACCAGGCTAGTGCTATCAAGATATCCTACTGAATTCGATAGTTCATTTAACACTTGTGGGTCTGGAGGAACAGGCATTGCAATGTAACACACGTGCTAAAAGAACCATGTAAGCCGTTCAATGGCTTTTGGGCCGGGTGTAATGCCTAGGGCAATAATGGTTGACCGATCAATAGGGCTGG